TGAGGCGGTCGCCTGTCTCCGAGCCGCGGGCGCCTCTCCACCATGAATTCCTTGGCTCACCGTGTCCTGCCCGCCGCGGGGTCCGCATCGTGGTGTGTTCCCCGCCGTCCTGCGGGGCCTTCCGGTGGGGCGGGTGCGAGTCCCAGTCCTAGAGAAGCAGCTGGCCTTCATGACCTGCAGGGCTAGGGGAGGCCGGGCGGAGAGCTGCCTCTTCCCTCTGCCTTGTCGTCTACTGGCTGCGCGCATCGCTCTCCTCGTCCATTTCATTCGGACGTGCTCTTCCTTAAAGCTGTCTTTTTTTCTTTAAAGAGCTGATTAAGCTCTTTATGTTAATCTTCCTTCCTCTTTCTTGTCTTCTCCCTCCCCATCCGTGACAGTTTTAAATTGTTAAAGCTGGATATGAATAGTTTCCGAAGACCCATCAGTCTGAAATGTAGGAGGTGCTACTTTATCCTTTCACGTACCTGAAACTATTAAAATGTCAGGGTAAAATGATTTCTGGAACTGGGTCAAGAGTAAAGTGATGGAAAAGTAATGTTCCTTGTATACAGAAACATACAAAACCCCCAAATTAGTTTGTTGTTGTTGTAATTGTATACTTTTGTCCTTCCAAAGGTGACTTATCCCTTCTCTAGTAATTTAAAGTCATTGATAATGCTACTTAAAATACTGTTTTATTTGCAAAAGTGACACGAAGGGGAAAATCCAACCTTCAAAAATCACAATCAAAATGAGATGAAGACTTCTGTTATTTCAAGTTGATACTTGAATTGAATGACAAGGAAAACTGTAGAGGATACATGTACATCAAAGCACTTTCAATTTGGGACTCAAAGTTTTGGGAAAATCGGGCTGTTTATGGACACATCTCATTGTACTCATCACAGCATAAAGTTGGTGGGACCAGCTCCATATTCTTGTAATCTCTAAACAGCAAACTGATAAAAGTAGTCTTTGAATTTAGCTTTCATAAAGAATACTTGTATTAGCAGTGTTGGCCTTGCCTGAGTATTAGAGAACCTGGGTTTGTAAGAACCTCATGTTTTTGGAAAAAAAGTGTATGTTACTAGAGATTCTTGCTAAAAGATGTATCACAGCTTATTTTGTTAAGTCCTTCAAAGTTTTGAATTCCTGGCTATGCAGCCAGACCAAAGTTTGCTTTTCATTATGTGGAAGAAAAAAACGTAACCTGCCCAGCCTTCAGTACCCTCCACCTCTCTTGTGCAGTTGTGCTGGACTTCTACTTGAACAAAATACTGTAATTCCTCATTCTCTGTCCATGTTTCTATCTGAAAGAAAAGGTTTATTGAAAGAAGGTTGTAGCAAGGTGGGTGTTGGTATCTTTCACAAGTAGCAAGCGATAGAATGAGAGGAAACCGCCTCAAGTTGTGCCAGGGGAGATTTAGATTGGATATTACAAAAAATTCATTCACCTAGGAGGTTATTAAGCATTGGAACAGGCTGCCCAGGGAAGTAGTTGAGTCACCATCCCTGGAGGTATTTAAAGATGAGTACATGCGGTGCTTAGGGACATGATTCAGCGGGACTTGGCAGTGTTAGGTTTACAGCTGGACTCAATGATCGTAAAGGTCTTTTCCAACCTAAATGTCTCTGGGATTCTATCTGAAGTAAACAGGACATGGAGCAGAAAGCATATGATGTGTTCAGTATGCTGGATGATTGGGGTAATGTGTCTGGGATCAACTACCTATGGTGGAGTCAGACACATACATGGGTTCCATATTTCACTGTAACTAAACATGTCTTTATTTCTGTGTCTTTCAGTTCTGACATTAATATGTTTTACTTCTCAATAGATTGGGTTGATGTTGCCAATGATCTTTTAAGGAAATGTCACATAAACCAGCGTATAAAGCACCTCTCAGAATGTGGCGCTGATGTGTTTGTTCATCTTTATGAATCAATCTTAAGAGAAAAAGTACCAGGTGGGAATGATAATTTCTAAACCTGCTTTTAAAAAAAAAATAAAAATCTTTGTTTCTTGTGTAATGAACAAATTCAAGTTTGCAGAACTTAACATGCGGGCTTTTTAAACTGCTTGTGTCTTTTGAAAGACAGACACATACCATTGTCATTATTCAAGAAGATTTAAGTAATATTGGCCATTTATTTGTTGTTTGGAGTTTTTTTGACTGGCATGAATGGCAGCTAGGAGGGGAGTTCACTAGTGTAGCTACAGAGAAACTTCTACTCTAAATTAGGCCTTGAAAGCCATACACAGGCACACCACTTTTGAATAGTGTGAATTGGCTCATTTCTCTTAAAGAAGCGTTAATACTGAAGCCTGTTCTCATATAATGCTTAATACAATCTGGTAAGAGCTAAGCTGTGATTTAACTCTGGTTTAACCCAACTCTATTTGACTTCAGTGACAACAATTAAGCAAGGGCGATGCAATTATGTATTTGTTTACTTTATGGTAAGCTGTTGCATTTGGGAAGTGTCAAGACTCCTGCTTACAGAAGATTTTAATAGCACTGAAGTAACTGGCAGCTACTGGAGGTAGAAGTCCTGTTAAATATAAGCCCAGAACTAAAAATAATGTTGCTCCCAATTAAGTAGAATGCCTTGTGGTCCAACTGCTCTTTGACAGGGAAAGAAGAGACCTCAACACAAACTGCAATTCAGTTTGACAATCTGAACTAGATTTGTGTGCTGGGAGTGAAGGAGGAAAAAGATTTTTAATGCTTTTTATTCTTGAGTTTAATACTTCAGCTGATAAAATCCTCACATCTTCTAGAGGCTGTTTTAAGTTCATACTCAGTATTTATAAAATATTTAATACAACCGTATGATAGTTGAGCTTTTCACCAAGTACACAGGGTATTGAAAAAATACTAACTTGTAAGTGAAAGTTAAAGTAGTTATTCAAAACGTCTGCAATAAGCTATCCATTTCTTTAGCATAAAATCTATTATTTATTTTAAATAGATTTTATAGCTACTCCTAGAAGCCAAGAGGATGATGCACATAATGTACAAGCAGTAATAGATTCCCTGGCATTGGACTACTTGCAGGTCAGCTTGTCACACATCACTGGTAAGTACTCATTTTAATGTAGACAAACACCAGCTGAATATCTGTGTGGTGTAATTTGAACATTTTATAAGAACCATATGTTATAAAGCATATTTCATACTTAAATGAAAGGTCTTTTTCTTATACTGAGTATGCCATCAGAACACTGAACCCTTGCCTTGGACATCAGATTATAAATTTAAAACAGCAAGCAGAGAATAAGTAAGAGCCATTTGGTATGACACAGACATGGAAGAAATGTTAAAGTTAACTATCAGTCATACTTCACTTGTCTGCTAAAGTGTTACCTCAAGTCTGTTACTGGCCTGGTATTTTTCTGTATACAGAAAGTTTGGAGACTGAGTTTTAAAACAGGAGCCTTGAATTTCGAATTTGTCACTGAATTTTAAAAAGCTGGCAAGTACAGACTTTAACCATGTTGTATCTGTCCTTTGTACACAGATAATACCTTTAATTGAGTATTCATCTATATAGTCTCGCATAATGTAGACTGCAAAAAGGAAAACTGCTTGCTTGATATGAAGTCTCTCTCCCTCTGGTTTGGTATTTGTACAAACCTTGGCTGTTTGTAATCCTGCCAGTCCACAGGCTTGATTCTAGCTAGTATGTATGAGACAGTATTAAATACCAGCTATCCCTGATTTTTTCTTTTCTGTGGAAGCAGGTATAGCATGAATACACTTTCAGTTATTAGAACTAAAATATGCAACTTTAGGAATCTTTTAAGTTACCTTAAGCTTACGTACATAGCCATAAATGAGTGACCAGTTGTCTTCTGAGCTGATACTTTCAAAAGAATTTCCAAGCGCTCCAGAGAACTCCTGCTTTTGAGAGCTTTTCTTCTGTAAAGTATTATTACTATGTAGCAATACTTTCTCTTAAAGGTGAGAACATTGTGAAAGGAGAAAAGCAATCAATCAGAAACCTCCTTGAAATATTTGATGGTCTGTTAGAGTATCTTACAGAAGAAGTCAGTGAATCATCTTCTCAGAATGGGGGTGAGTAGGCAGATGTCCTAGTTTAAGGTATTGTATTCTGCTACTACTATATTATGGACAGCTTAAATTTTGTTTGTCTGCTATCAAGTTATCTTGCTGAGGGCTTAGCTTCTCATGACCATAGTTCTTGGTGTTCATAGATGGAATACAGCTCCCGTAGTAGGTAAAAACTGTTTGCTGTTCTTGTTAGCAGCTATAAGGAATTATATCCATTGGAAGATATAAGCTTTGTGAAACCTTGTTTTGGAATAGCCAAGGTGTTTCCAATGTAGCAAATTTTTATTTGTTGGTTTTGCCTTATTTTATAACCTTGACAATGCAGAAGAGGAAAGACTGAAACTCATCATGGGGGGAGGAAATTTCACTGGCCAAACTCAGTATTTACATTTCTTACTTTCACAAACAATAATCACAAAATAGATAATTTATTTTCCTCAAAACGTGTGAAAAGGCAAAAATTGGAGAACTTATGCTTCAGTCTTGTGGCAGAAACCTACTCCAGACAACTCGTCCTCTGTTAGTATGTTGCTTTTCAACGTGTAAGTCAAATGATTTATGGCTAGGATTCAGGGAGGGAAATGTTGACTTTAACCAGAACAATGAGCAGATGTCCCTTACTAGAAGATAAACAGGAGAATGATCTAAGCTTTCCTGTGAAGTGGATCTTGAGAGCAGACCCATAGCAAGGACTATTTTGAGGAAAGTGGTTAACAGGGGAAGAGAAGTTACTCAGCCTTTCAAAGGCATCACCGTTACTTCAGACCAAGTACAGGTTTTCCTATCTTAAAGCTGGTAGGAACTGCCATCGCTAGCTTTGTACCCTGAGAGTAAAGGGGAGAGCGATCAGTGGCTGAGACAGTTGCCTCCTGTTGTATTCCACTGTGAATGGCAGAAGGAGGGCAGCAGTAATTTTCAGTGCTTGGACTTCTGCTTTTCCCTTCTGTCACAGACTGCCAGCGCTGCTGCCCAGTAGGCGTTAGTAGCTCCAATTTTCTAGTTATAACTACAGGATTTAATTATTTTGAGAAAGAAGAAAGGAGTTATTTATAGTTGAAACAATAGGGTATATGATAAATGTATCGCTTTTCAAAACTTACCGTAAAAGTTACCCCCTTCTTCCCCATGGGCATGTGTGTCATCATTTTGGATATCATCCTTGTAAGGTTTTATTACAGTTAAACTGTTTTGATGGCAATAATACCTGTTAGTTAATAGGTAAAAGTAGTTTTTCTGAAAATAATTGCCTCTTTATTATTAACAGATGAGGCAACTGTGCTATCCAGCAATGAAATTCCAATTGCATCTCAAGAGCAGCTGGGAAACAACACTGGTCACCTTACGCAACCACCAATATTCTCATCAGTTGAAGGGTAAGACCAGTTCTGAATATCTCCATTGACGTAGTGATTGACTATCTTTTTGTATATCTGTAGAGAAACTAACAGGTTTTTAATAGTATGCAAGTAGGAAACATAGTGATTACACACATCAAATGGAATGTGAGGTAACTTTCTCCTTTAGTCAGGCAGCAGGAGGGCTAAAATTAGATCCAGAGCTTTTTTGCTCTTGGAGAATGCTGATGGCATTGTGTTTCCCTTAAGTTTACACGTGTTAAGTTGAAAACTTTGTCTCAGATTTAAATCATGTTATGGTAAACTGCATTCGATTTATCTTGGTGACTTCTACATTGGTTTGTTTTGTAGAAGCTGGTCTCTTAAGTGTCCTACACTAGAATAGCCAGCTGCCTGCAGTTGCCACTCTGCTGCAGCCCCATCTTGTGGACTGAAGGGGCAAAGACTTTTAGAGTAAATACCTTATGGCTTTATGTCCCTCTTAGGTCCCAGTCAGAATTTTTTGTTCCATCTTGTGACGGAGATGGATCAGAATCTGCCAGTGAATCAATTAGACTTGGAGATACTGCTCATTCATTTTACAAGAGAGAGGAAGGTGAGTTTGGGTGAAAAAACCAACTCTGTAATAACTCTGCACTTCTACGCTTTTTTTGTTTGTTTCTCTCTTTTAAAGTTATTTCTTTCAGACACATACTTCATTTTAAACTCTTATTTTACAAAAAAACCCCTAAACTACAATAAGCAAATGTGCCTGTAGTTGATCTTACTGAAGTTAAAATGTAGATTTCTTAAAGTAAGTCTTCCGGACACTTTTTTATTACTCCTGAGCTATGTTATCTGGATAAAGGTTTGTTTGATTTCTAATTCTTCTCCCTACAAAGGCATTTTGTTTTGTTCAGTAGAAAGAGAGATTTCTGAAGCCCTTAATTTGTTTCATTTATTGCAGTATATAAGACTGTAAAAGACTATTAAGTTCATTCTTAAAGATGACTTGCTAGGAGTGCGTGCATTATCAGTGCCTCTGGAACAAATAATATGCAGACTACTTAAATGGAGTCCATTCCTATTTCCCTATAAGAATATTCTTATTGGTGATTAATCTCTCCAAGTAGGAGCATAAAAAATTATGAATTAAGAAATTTTTATTGAATAGAATTACAAGTAGGAATTTAACAGATGTATTTTGATCATAGTATAGATTGCTAACACCGTTATTAACATACCAAACATGAAAATTGTCCATCTGAACAGTTCACAGCACGATGCTTTAGAGTTCTTAATTTAATCTTTTTTAAACACTTCTAGAACTGCAGTTGCCTGAATTGTTACCAGCAGAAGATGACAAGGGGATGGAAGAACCTAAAAACTCAAAGGCTATTGCAACATTACCTAGACAGTTCTCTGGAATTGAAAGGGCCATTGTAAAGGAAAAGGAAGATGGTGAGTATTCATTCCTCTGATGTCTTATCTACCTGATTTTGACTAAAGTATGTAAGGTACTGAGGTAGCGTAGAGGAGAACCTTAGTCATGGATGGAAACACTTTAGCTGTATCTTGAAATAAAGAAATACTTTTCAGAAATTTTATATTTTGGTGCCTTAGGGTATGCAGACTTCATTATCTGGGGTATTTTTGCTTAGCTGGGATTCAGCTTCAGCTAGGTTTTTTTTCTTTTGTAGTTCAATAAGCACATACTAAAAGTAAAAAGGTCTTGTGCAAGATCCTAGCATCCAAAATCATGTTCTCAGGGGGCTTTAATGCTGTTCGTAAGGGCAGGTATGGATAGATTGTGTACTGAGTGAATCATTCTGACAGGTGGCAATCGTCTTCTCTAGTTGTCCCTGTACCTGTGCTGACTATGGCTGTGTCATTGCACAGAATTCGTCACATGAGCAGGCGTTCCCCAGCATGTACCTAAAAAGACTTTGGGGAAAACAACAGCAAATCAAAAGCTATTGACTGTATATGCACATAGCTACACCCCTGCAGTATGACAGCAGTATATTCATGTACACATATACATATACACAGTAGTGAAAAACTTGGTGCTCGTAGAAAAGGTGTGAGACAGGGAGGGGCTGCAGTATGTAGCTCTGTAAACAGAAGAAAAGTACCATTGTAAGGCATAGAAATGTTACGGTACTGTTCTATGGAATCCAAAAAGACGGTACCTAACATTAGATATTTAGGTGCTTCCATCTAATATGTAGAAAGAATATACAAAACTAATGTTCTGCTTTCACATTTAACACTTAAACTGCAAGTTCTTCGTATTTGTCTCTTAAGTATCAACGGAGTCTGTTCATACTGCTAAACCTCAGAAAGAGAGTTTGAGTGCCAGTGCTATAAAACTTGGGGAGCCTATACAGCAAGCTATTCCTTTGCTACCACCATTTCAGTCTTCGGAAACCAGACCTCGTTATCCTGGATGGAGAGATTATCAGAGCTCAGACAGTCAGTCTGCAACTTTGGCTAACAGTCAAGGAGTGAAAATTCCTACTGTAAGTAAAAACCTATCCTTTGACTTTTTTAATTATTTTTTTTTAGTAATCAATACTGCTTTCATTTTAAAACCCTCTAGTATACTTGCAGAATGTGAGTAGTTGGTGTCTGAAGAACGCATCCGAATGTGCCAGATTTTATCTTCAGTTCAAAGAATTTGACTGTAGATTTCTTCTTGAGTGTCTACAAAGGAAGTTAATTTGAGGGGTGTGCTTATTTTATACACATAATACACGTGCATCTCCTTAATCAATGTAACTGCACAGTTTAAAATATAGTAAACAAAATAATTACAGTGTACTTTTATTTATCTATAAAATGAACATTGATTTCCATATGCAGACACGCTTAACATATGAACTTCCAGTCAACACTCGCCTGTGAGTTTATAGAAAATATGTTGCTTTGTTATTTCAGTTTGAAAAGTCACTTACACAAAAATCTGAAGATGTTTCTGGTAGTCTTCCTCTATCAAGGAAAATCCCTGGTGAGAGAGAATTTTTCTTCCTATAGGGTAACTCTGAAGTGTCAAATTCTGCATTTATTTTTATTGGCACTACAAGAAATATGGTTTTGAAACTACTTGTGCATTTTTTATTAATTCAGCCACAAGTTCGTATTTCTGGCCTGTTTTACAGAGAAACAAAAATAGGTTACTTTTAAGCTGTTCACTGTGCTGGCGAAAAATAATTTGTGCCCTCAGTTTACCTCCTTTCTCAGTTGAGTTAACTGAGTTAACAATGTGTCTATACTACAGAATCTTGTCTAGCAGGTAACTGCCATGACTGAGCTTATTCTGAACAGAGAAACATGGACCAAGCAAGCCTGTTTCAACCCTAGAAAAAGCCATTAACTGCTATTGTAGAAAAGGTTTAGAAGCTAGTTTTCAGTACTTATTTTTTCTGTTGCCTGGGAAACATTGCTTACCTTTCTAGTTTCCATAGCATTCCCATGACAGTGAACATTCAAAACTTGAGAAGTTACCAAAATTAATGTCACAAATGTGTAACCACAATTGCTTTGTCATTCTGTTCTCTTTTGAGTAATCTGGTTCCCAAGGCCATGGGTCACGTATTTTTTTACTTGTTCCCCACATTAATAGGTGCAGTGAAGTCTATGCCATCAACTAACACTTACCTGTCATCTGCTTCTGCAGAGGGAGACAAGGTGGTATCGAATGATGCTGAGGACAATGTGGCAAAGGTAGATGTTGCAACTTTACCTTATTTGTGGAAGTTCAGTCAATATTTTTGGATTTCTCTTTATTTTTTCTGATATCTTGTGGTACTTCTGGTCTTCTTTCAAACCTGCTTTTAGCTTGCTTTCTTCAATAGATAATTAGTGATACAATGTTGTTAGTGACTATGTACAGTTTATAAGTAATGTTAGTTCTTTCTGGAGATGTTTGCTCCAAGAAGTGTAAGTGGCCGTACCTACAGAGTTCTAATTTATCACAACCAACTTTGTTTTTAATCCGAGATGTATAAAACGCAAGAGTACACTCACTTCCTTTCTCGAAGTGTACCAGTATTCTAAATTGGTAAGAATTTTGGTTTTCTGGGGTTATTCAGACTCCAATAAAATTCAGATTTTGCACTCTTCCTAAAGATCACTGGACTGCCTGGCTATATTCTTTCATTTTATGTCCTTGCATTGTCCTTTGGCTTTCAAAGACTGAATAATGCAAAACCCAGAAATTGATCAGCAGATGCCATTCTGTGCTTGTAGAAACATGTCTGTATAGAAAGTTCCTTGCTCTGGAAAACACTTTTTTTGCCTTCTGCAACCACAAGAGGTACTCACAGACTTCATTTGTTCCAGTAGTTTCAACAACCTTTACTTCTACATTGTCTGTTTAAAACTCATTTTCCATTGGTGTATTTGCAACTATATGCATGCCTACTCCAAATTACTTCAGTTCGAACAGATGAGTTACCAGGCAGCACCAAACCTGTGTAACTAAATGGCATTAAGGATGTGTTTTCTTTTAGTTTGCTGTGAATTGCACCTTAGTCTATATTTAGTGAGGTTCAGCTTACTTGCATTAGTCCCAGGCTAATGAGGTTGTATGTAGGGATACTCCTATAACTCAACCTAGACCTTGTTCTTCTGAATCAGTGATTTAGGTGATTTGTGAACAGGAGTTTAATTATTTCTGGTAGTCTATTTCTTTAAATGTCTAATCCTCTAAAGCACACTATCTTCAGGCAGGGATCTGGACATGTAACTACTTTTATCTATTTATTTATATACATACATACATACATATATATATGATACACACACACGTATATAATATAATCATGGGGTTTGAGATGGTTCTTCTATAAAGCTATTGTAGGATCTCTGTACTCGCATGATCTATGGTATTTCTGAGCTTTACTGTGAAGATTTTATTAAATTTTAATTTACTCTTACTCATTTTTCTAGATTCCCTGGGAATATGGGACTTCATCTGCTTCCTCTTTACATCAGAAATTCTCGCTGTGTGCTGAACAAGTAACGCAGGCTCCAAGAGTTGAACCTAGGTATCAGCCTAGAAAGAAAAGGCAAGTTCTGTTTTTTGGTACTGAGCCAAGCAAGCACTTTCATACACATGGCTTCCCATGGTCCCCCTGCCTTTAAAATAAGATCTCTTCCTCCTTGGTTGGATGATAATGAAATATTAATTTTAACAGAAAGATTTCCTGTTTCTCCTAACATATATGCATTTTCTTAAATACAATATAGGCATTTACACATTCAGCTTCTACTTAATTCTGTAAAGATGTGGTCAGGCCAAAAGTGAACTAGAATTGTACGAGGTAATGCTTATCTTCAAGTTTTTAGAATAGAAATCTATTTTCTGTTTTAGCAGATATGAGAATTCTACCACAGATTCACTTGAAGAGTCTCTTTCCTATGGAACAACAAAGGAGAAGCTATCTGAGCAAGAGCTTCACAAAGTGTCAGAAAGCCTCTCTCGCAGGTTACATGAACTAGATTTAGTAAGTGAAGTCTATTCTTTGTTGTATCTGAGCACACTAGCCTTAGTAGTGATAATGGAGAGAACCAGAATATAAATGTAATACTGATGAGAAGGATATCTACAACTAACACCCGATGTTAGATGGTTCTAAATTTTGAATGAACTATTGAACCTGACCCCTCAAAAAAATCTATCCATCAGATGTTAAAGAGAGCTTTGGGTGGGCACCCCAGAGAAGAGTTGACAGATGAAGAAGACAGCCTATCTCAGCACAGCGACAGCGTCATGGATTATCGTCGAAGGAAAGCTGAACAAGGTAACAATTCTTATGCCACTTAAGTATTATGACGGAAAGGAATATATATTAAAAAATCCTTCTCATGTAAAGTTGATACACTGAACTATTCAGAGTTACTAAGTTTTGTATTGTCAGTTCACTTACCTTTCTGTTCTTAGATCCAAACCTGAGCAACAGTAACAATTACAATTAAGTTCCAGTTTAACACATAAATAGCTATGGTAAAACTTTACTAAAAACACAAGGCAAACACAGCTGCGGTAAAAAATGTACAGAAAGTGGAGGGACAGAACACAGGATCATTGGTAGGACTGTGGCTCTAAAGTGAGGGCAATAGACTTCACTGCGGATTCTTCTGTGCTCAACATGGCATGCACATCTACATAACCTACAAACATGTTGTGCAGTGTGTGTTGGTGGCAATATGATTAAATAGCCACCCTATATATATATACCAGGCTATAAAACTTAATATAGCTGGATCTAATCCACATGCACCACATTATACTGCAAGATGGAGCTGTGTGTGACCCTGGCATATAGACAGCCTCTCACCTTAAGCTACCTTCAGTTGTCTGCTTTTTCCTTTCCCATCTAAATATCTCCTGGCAACTTTGCTATTATATAAGCCCCAAAAGGAAAAGGTTTTAACTTCTACGACTTAATTTGAGCTAAACTTTTTGACTCTTATGCTGTATAGGGTTTGGGGGGCTTTTTTCTTATGTTTGGATGGAGGTTTTGTTTGTTTGTTTGGTTAGCTACTCAATGAATCACCTTTCCGGACAGACACACCATATCTAAGGTACCCAAGCAGGCCACGATCCCTTTCTCCATCTTCACCCTCATCTCAGCATCAACTCTTTTCTGAATTGGAAGATAAATTCTGCAGTAGTGGAACAGGCCAAATAAGGAAAATACGCAGCCAGTTGCAAAAGGAAAAGGATGAAAGAGCAAAGAAAGCAAAGGTAATTTCTAGGTTAGACATATTGGTCACTCTTACCAACAGTTATACTAAAAGCATTAAACCAGAATGCTCTTACTTAATGGGGACATCTGGCCTACTTAACGTAATTTTGTACTGTTTTCTCTTTAGACTGCTGAGGAAAAGCCTTAACCCCCAAATTCTGCAAAAAGTAAAGTGGAAGAAGCTATTTTAACCCATACACTGATCAGGTTAATGAGGTGATCGTGTAGACTGATCATTTCCTCTGAAAATTCATCTTGTTTTTATTTTCTAGATAGTCGCTAAAGCTTATGAAGATGAACTAAGAATTTATGAAGCTAGAGAGAGGCTTAGAATTTCCAAGCTCAGAGAAAGCATCAAGGAAATGGTATGTGATGCACTATGGTGATGGTTGGTTGTGTTTTGGTTTTTGTTTTAAATTCGTCTAGATGATCTATCCAGACACTGGGTATGTCCTTTGGGTACAAAAACTCCTTGACTCCCAGTGTCATAGTTACAGCACTGTATACTACTAAAGTAGTAAACACAAGGACAGCTTTTCTTGAGATGTGTAGAACCAAAGGACAAGTAGTTTCAGAAGTTTCAGCACTTCTATGTGTTAAGAATAATACCAGTTCTTATGGGTAACTTAACCACTATGCTTTTCACATTAAGTGGTAACTTCAAGACGCTTGGATTTAAAGAATTAAAGCTAAGTGTGCCAGTAGATAGCTTCTGTAGACTGCCCTAAATGTCTCCACAGATGGTCACTTCACACACACACACATCCTCAACAGCTAGGTTAATAAGGTCAAAGCCCCCATATGCTATAGGCAATCTGCTTAATACTGTTATAGTCTCTTCTGAAGACTCTAAAAGTTGCATTTGTGCAAGGATGATTCTCTAATGAATACAGCAAAGGGGTTTTTGCTACTTTCTTACGTATTACTGGAACAGCAAAGAACCTAAGCTGAAAAGCTGTCATACCAATGTAGGCTGCACTGGCTCTTTTCACCACCTTTGCAGTAGCAGTCCACAGGATGCTGCAGCAGTGTTAAGTGCTGCAAAAGAGCTGAGGTTATGCAATGGTGAGGTTCAACCTTTATTTGAACCCTGACCTGCATTTGGTAAATTCTGGCCTTCTGGAGAATCCAATTCAGTATGTCCAGTTTCTTATTCTAAAGTTTCAAAGACATTTAGGTTCTGATATCCAAACTATGTGATCTATCAATTTTTCCCTTCTCATACCTGTTCTCCATCTGTTTTACATCTGCTCCTAAGGAACAAGAATACAAAGAAAACATCTTTAAAGAACCTCCAAAAATGCCTCAGCCAGTGAAAGTTTATTCTAGAAAAGCCACACCTCGGAATCCCAAATACAGCCAGTGGATTCCAAAACGAGGGATTGTGAAGCCAAAGAAAGCAGCTCCAAGTAAGAACTGCAAAACTATACTTGGTGGAAAACTGGCATCTTTTGAAAGCATGTGCAGAACTCCAAGAATAAAGGCATCAGTCCAACATATACCAGTCAGCTGTAGCATTTTCCCCTTCTTATGACCTCTATATGTCTGGATTTTTGTTAGGGAAGATAATGCTTTAAGTAAATGTAAACCACCAATGCACAATCAAAACTGTGACCCATTTGCTACCTCCTTAAAAATCCCTTGGATTATTTTCAAGGCTTGTTTCCATTACTGCTACTCCTATGCTTGCTCCACTGTAGTCTGAACTGAGGCTTTTTTCTTTTTCCTGAGCATGTATCAGGTTTAAAATTGGACCTTTAGTTTGAGTGGGCTGGTGCTGACCCACGTACAGGTAATAGAGCAGAAGCTGTCAGTTGCTGTCATCTTTCTTGCAAGACCCTGCCATGGAGGTGACAACACTGCCACTGGTTTTGCTGAGCAAGTAATGCACCAAGAAGAGCCAATGTGCAAATCACATGCTCTGTTTCGGTCAGTGGCACTGGGCATGCTTATGTATAAAGTCATGGTTTAATCCTCTGCTTATCTGAATGTTGCTCAGGTACACTGCCCGTTCCCCCCCCCCCCCCCCCCAGTGTTTAAAGGACATATACGTGGTTAATACACACTTGTTTCATCTTCCCATCATCTTTTCCTGCCAGAAAGATCAAAGATGTAATGAGAATGAGCTAGTTGCTCACCAGTTTATTTTCCACCTGTTTACTTGACCTGGATCTGTCACTGCTACTGCTGTATTAGTGTTATTTTAAGTTGCTGCAGCCACTGAAAGACAGATAAAGAAATCACTGATTAGTGATGGTCAGAACCAAGAAAGAAGGGGATATCTGTCTTAATTGGATATGGTGGTGGGAGGGAAATAACAACGGAGCTATAATAGCAATTCCTCAGCAGAAAAAGAAAACCTCCTAAACTAAAACCCAAAAACTTGGTATTACTTTCTTTGCTGCTGTACTGACAGAGTGATGTTATGTCCTGCTGGCTTTAGCTTGACATCGTAACAACAGCATGGTAGTTGTATATAGTGTTCAATCTAAAATATTTCATAACCTAGGCTGACACTGTCTGGAAAAATTTACCACTAAATGTATTTTCCAGGAATTTATTGCTTACAGCTGTCTTTACCTTGTAGTGAAAGTAAGAGATGATGACCTCCTATTTCAGCTACTGGAAGAGTTTCCCCACCTGCATATTTCCCACCATACTATGAATAAAATGTGGCAGCAGCAGCGTGCACATACTGAACAACTTAAGGCAGCTTCTGGCAGCACTACACCAAAACTCCACAACGAAGTGAGCATTCATATTCTTACTTTCTAAGTATCAGCATACTACTGAATAGTTAGCAGTCATCAGTCTGTATTGCCTAATAATAATAATAAAACAATCTTGACCCTTTGTATGCAGCACAGGTAGGGTACGTGCACATCCAAAGCACAATGACAGGATGTGCATCTGAGCTTGGTTAGTTAAATAGGGATGTACGTATCCAGACATGTGGGTTCAACTTTTTACCAGCCACTTGGATATAATATTCATTTTTTATGCTAGTTTATCTAGTACTGCCTAGGATTGCTATTGCTTTTTTAAAAGCTTTTTGTAGTATTGAGTGCTAGTTCTGAACAGTCTTTTAGTTTAAAAGTTAGTTGTGAGACACAAAAGTTGATTATGCATGGTAACATAAAACATAAAACACAAAACATAGCAGAAGGGCAATGTTTGAAACTCCTACACACAACTGCCTCTCCTGCAGAATGATGGAAGTAATTAGCTTGGTTTTTTTTTAACCTCCAGGTTCAACAAGCCCTGAAGAAATATGAGCTTCTTGTTGCAATTATTAAAAAAGATCAAGATCGTAACAAGAGACTGGTATGTTCTTTGAGAGCTATTTGTTACATCATACAAAAACTTCATGTTGAGGTAGCTAGAATGCTTATTCCCTGGTGCATGAAAGGGGCTTTTTATGCCTCTTGAGAGCAGCTGTGGTCTCAAATGCGTGTAATCTGTTTGCTGTGTGGCTACTGAGGTCACGGGAATGGAATATTATTATTACACTGCGCTGTTGCTTTAAAAGTGCAATCAAATTCTAAGACTGTGCAAGGAGGAGAAGCTTCAGGCTCCTGATGTTGCTGGGAAAAACACCAGCTACCATGGTAATGCTGACTCCTTAATTATATAGTGCTCTTGATGGCACCACTTTGCTAAATCAGTGGTGACTAAAGCTTTAAACCATAAATACAGTGTCAAACTGGGGCAGGGAAAAGGTCCTTAGTAAAGGACCCTACTTATTTAGCAATTATTAACAAAGTTTTGCCTCTAGCAATATCTATTGGAAGCTTGGTGGTCTTACAGCTACTGTTCTCCATTTAGCAAGAATTTAAGCAACGTATCGGCCGACAGAAGTGGGCTCAGAGTAAACTGAGGGAGAAACGCCAGCAAATTGCTCGAGCCAGGAAGTATTATGAAGATTACCGGGTGCAGTTGCGTGCCAAGATGATGCGGGCTAGAACACGGGAAGAAAGGGTGAGTACAAGATGTCTTGGTCTGCAAGCGTGGAATTCTTTTTTGTTTGGACCCCAGTGCTGAGGACCCACAGTCTGGTAGTTTAAATAATGATTCAAGCAGAGACGAGTCAAGGAGATGGAGCATAGGAGCCAGGAGTAAATGGTTGATCAGTCAAGGCCACAGATGAAAAGGTTCCTTCTTGGGAAACACTGACACAGTTTAGGGCAAACCGCTGTAAAACAAGAAAGGGCACTTTATGGGGTTAACAGAAGGAGAGAAAACGTGAAGTATCAGTATGGAAAAACAGGGCTGGTAACATGAGAAATTGGGGAAATGAGTTTTCAGAAACAGTGGGATTAAGAAGTTGTTCCTCTAGTTACTATCCAAAGAAAACAATCTAAATCTTCAGTTCAGGAAACTGATCAAAAAGACAGCTTTGTTATTCACAGTTATGTTTGTTAAACAAAGTGGACTTTCTGACAGATATGATCTCTAATTAGGGCTGGACATCAGAGCTAAGGAGGAAAGCAAGTAAAGTTATTACACTTTGAGAATTGTCTATCTGCTCTTGCACCTTTTAAAATAAAAGACTAGAAGCTCAGTGCATAATCCACTATTAGTGATTTGAGAACTGTTTGCCTCAAGCTGCACTGTAGCTGGTAAGTGTTCTTTTGTATAAGTGGAAAGCCTGAGCACAGGCTGGATTTCCTGCTGTAGGAAAGCTGGATGAAGGTCCTGAAGTCAGAATTTGGAGTGGGCTGTAAATCAAAGTGCATGTGCAAAGACTGGCTTGCACCGTCAGGCTGTCTGAAGCAATTTAAAAAATTAACATACATTTGCTGTTCTAGCCCCTTTTTTAGTCATGTGACTAAACTGACATGAAAAATGTATTTTATCTGTCAGAATTTCAGCTGAGGAAAACAGATGCAGCTCAGCTTTGTCTCCGTACCACCCTTACTAGATACATAACTGTACTTCTTCATGGACAATGACCTGTCTTCATGTGATCACCATTCCATCAGGAGATTAAGCAGCTGAAAAATGGAAGTGTATACTTGAAAGTTGCTGGGAAAGTCTTAGCTTTGTTTTTTGTTTTTTATTTTAATTGCTGGCAGATATTTAAAAACTTATTTGAAGAAGGCTTAGAAATTCAGAAGCAAAGACTGAAGGACCTGAGGACATATGCTCAAGAGAAGCGTGCTGAGCAAAGGAGAGAGCATCAAAATGAGTTGGAGTCTATGGAGAACTATTACAAAGATCAGGTAAAGCTTAATCTGCATCAAAGACTTAGTATTTTTTACACTAGAAGTCTTTCCTTTCTGTAATTGGTTCAACTCAAATATGTTTTATGCTTAGTTTTCCATGCTAGCAGAAGTTTTATCTCAAGAACGCCAAGAAATCCAAACCAGAGAGAAAGCACAAGCACAAGTAAGTATTTTTATTTTTATCTAACTGTCTTGTCTTTCTGCATGCTGTGGCTAACATCTGTATTTTCTTTAGATGCTACAGAAATCAAAAAGAGAACTGAGATCAAGGATGGAAAAGGAAGTAGAGCAACTGCAAGCAGCAATAATGCAGAGTGACGATGACACCTTTTTTCAAGAACTAGAAGCAGACAGACTGAAATCCAGGCTTCAGATGGCTTCCTTTCAGTACAGTAAAAGCAGTTTCTTGTAAGACTTACAGTAAATATCACTGCAGTTCTCTCTGGCTGAGATGATGAGAGTCTCCTGAAGCTGCTGTGACTGGAACATGGTGTGTGGCTGGTTTTCCTCTAAAATATCTGGTGTGTCATTTTGACACATCAGAGGTGTAGCTGCTGCTATCTGGGATCTCTGTAGCAATTTTATGATCGCCAATAAAGTTTTTAAACTACTTTCTACCTTCTTAGCAAGGCTGGGATAATGTTGAGCTCCACACAAAGGGAGTGGGATGAAGACAGTGTGATTTAGTGAAGTTATCTTAGTGGAACAGTTCAGTGCTAAGCCTCCTCTGCACTTGTGCTTGTTCTGTTGTTGCTGGAGTTGAAAAGCCTCACTAACACCATTAGCCAGAAATTACTGGATTGGACAGCTCACAAAGAACAAGAAGATCCTTAAAAGAACATCAGTGCTTCAAGTTTCCTGTCAAAGGACAAGTTAGAAAATCTAACTGCAATAAACCTGGCATAAAAATCAGTCATTTTAAGCAAGGGAAGGCTATACTCTATACAATATACCACGTTTGCAGTTTAAGTGTTGTTGGCTTGTTAACAGCCATGCATACAAAGTACTGCTTCCTATGCTATAAATGTACTGGAAAAAGTATTTAGAAATGGGAAACAATGCAAATTCTTCTAAAGCAGTAAAATACAAGCTTCTGCAAGAACTAAAGCCTAGGAAGAGCCTGTGGACCACATTCCAGATTCTTTTCACTGGGGCTATACTAATGGGTGTGTGCTCTATAGGTGTTTCGACTTACTGGATTTCACACAGGGTCTTCAAAACTACATAAGCCCATGTGTAAACAAAGTTTTGGTTCAGTTGGTCTGCTTCAAAAGGGAGGCACAGTACTGCTACATGCAAATGGACAAGCAAGAACAAGAGCAAACATAGTAAGCTACTTAGAAGCAGATTATTTGGACAGCAGTTTTGTAAGGGTACTTGTATTTAATACCCTGTTGAGATTTTTTTTTAGAGTAAAGCAGATTAGTTCTAGTTCTGTCAGTGTGAAGATAGAGTAAATAGTCATTTGAAAAATCCAGCATTCAGCTTTTACCTTCTTTCAGGTTGCAAGGTCTGCTTCTAGGGACTGGAGTAGGAGCTGACAACAGGCACTACACCCACCTGCTATTTAGTGGAAAATTCAGGTTTCAGCAGCTGTGCATTAAGGGCCCTATGAGATGCTAACACAGAGGGATGAATACTTAAACTGAGAACAAGTTACAGAAATATAAGCTGATAATTTGAAGTTCATTACTGATATTTTCCTCTGCTTGACAAAACTGCCATTTTTAAATAGTTTATCTTGGCCATGAAAATGAACTGAAGTATAAAGTTATACAGGCTCCAGTAGAAGACTTCTTGCTTAAAAGTGGATGTGTGGGAAGTAATATAAACATACTGAAATTAATTGTGTATACAATATTTAACGCTTGCCCCGAGATGGTGTCTCTTGTGGAATTGACAAAACAACAAATGAAGACTCATGCATGGGGAAGAAAAAAGAAACCCCCAGCAGCTGGAGAGGCCAGCTCAAACAAAAGAGCTGGCAGTCAGAGTGCAATCTGTACCTCACGAAACAAAACCAAACCCAAAAAACCCCACAAAAGCAGAAACCCACACCCTCACTTTCTTAACAACCATTTCCAGGGACCTGCTATAAGCCAGGCACATTGGAAGTCTTCATCTAAGGGTCGGTATTTACCAGCTAAGTTGATCAGATTTAACAAGTCTTTACCAGATTTATTAACCTTTTTTCTTCCCTTATGGAAGATGGTTCAGCTTTGCTGAATTCTGAGAGGAGACGTACGCTCACCAATGCCGAGATAAAGTCCTTGCCAAGACACACGTCGACCACCACACGAAAGCCAAAAGTAAGAGCTTTTTGTTGGACTAGAACCTCTAGCACAATCCTGATCATAGGTAACAGGAAAACACCGAGTTTTAAGTATTGTCTCCTGAAACAAAGTGGAGTTACTTTAAAATGTAACAATATAATTTTTAAGTAAATATTTAATCAAGAAAAACTTAAAACTTTTAAAACCATTGATGCTGTGACAGTGCAAACAGCATACAATTTATTGCTCAACTTCTGCATGGGTACATACATTAAGTACTTAAAAACCATTTTATACAGATTTTTTTTTTGTTAAAGCTCATGTAACAGCTGGGTGAAAATACAATGATACCAATGCTAAAACACTCTGTAATAAATACAATGGAAATGATAAACTAAGAACTGTCAGTTTGTGGAGGAGTAATTACACTTGTATAAACTAATTACAACTACAGACAAAGCTCTGAGGATGTGGTAGAGCCAGAAACCTACTACATAGTGTAAAGTACAACAAATGGCACCTGTTAACTGTGTGGTGCTGTTCAAAATCTGAAGCAACCGGAGCATGCTACATTAAGCTGTATGACGCATACTTATGGTATAGAAGCAAAGCTTTTACTTCCATCAATGCAGCCAGTTTAAACGCACCAGCAGTTCAATACAGATGTAGTGTTGTAGAACAAGAATTTTAAAACGGCTTGTGTGCTCTGGACTTTAGTACAACACAAAAATTTGGTACAAATAAATCAGTTTAGGGAAACTGAAACTATGTGCAAAAAAATTAGAATACATACTGTACAAAGCACCATTACAAAACTCTTTACACCGAGAAATTAAATCCTCTGAAACTCAACTGCGTACTGTATATTTGAAATCTACAAAAGTCACTGTTCATAATTAAACATTCATCATGAAAAGCAACAGCATAAAACCTTGATGTGACATCTCTCTAAAAACAACTAAAGACTGGATAAAGTAAAACCCAGTAAGAGGGACACATTGAAATAAATATTCACATTAATCATGGGGTGAAAGTCCAAGGTTAAAATGCAATATTAGGCTTAGCACCTTTTTGAGGGGAAGTAGCTGATGTGATCTTGAGACAAAATTTTGGAAAGGAATCAACCCTTAAACGTTTGCAGATAAACACCTGACTTAGTGATGAGGTGCTTTAGTTAAAGCTCTCAGTCATTATGAAGGTAGAAAAGGCACTCAAAGTACTTGGTATACTCATCCTCATCTGTCAGCTAGGAAAGTCAAATGTAGGTTTGTCTACTTTTGCCTGTAATATATTAAATTTACAATATTTATCTGTGGCAGTTAAAAAAAATTTCTATGCCATACCAAAATGTCTGGCAGAACAAACAGATGTGCTAAGGCTGCTGTGAAACTGGATGGTGTTTATCAGCTGATCTGGAGTCTGTGTTCTGCAGAGCTCATCCCCTCCTCAGAAATGCTTTTATAACTAAAGGGTGGCCATGACCACGCGTGCAGTACATTTACCAGCATGAGCAGGCTGGTGGGGAGAAGGTTCCTGGGAGGTGGGTACAGACGGTGTGGTCAGGAGACACCAGAGGCTTTAGGCAGCGCTGAGGTGAGCTGCGTGGTGCAAAGGGAACGGCAGCACACCTTCCCTCCTGAACCGCCGACCAGTGTCCCAACTCCTCCCAAGAGCTGGATCAACCTGCATTTGACACTTTTCACGGGTCATGACCAGGGAGGCTGATGCAGCCATAGCCTGAGCAAGAGCTGGGGGGGCAGGGAATAAAAAAATACCACTTCTACAACACTGGAGTATCTATCCTGTGGAAGTGGTCACAAGAACTTGCCTCTGTAATGCACATCACACCTCACAACTTGCAGGGGTGAGAAGAGAGAGGTCTTTGGGAGTGTCTAAAGCAGTGGGCCCAACCACAGGCAGCAGAACTGGGTAAGAAACACACTGGGCAACAACTGACTTTGCTCCCTCCCAGGCAACCTGGACAGATGCAGCAGTAGCTTCTCTGGGAACGGGATTACCCAAAATATGTGAAATAGGGGATCCCAACTGCAGATGCAAAGGTAGCAGCCATTTTACACGAGTGCAATAGTCCCTTGAAATGAAGAAAAAAGGGTCTGACAGATTTCAAACCTGGCTGCCAAAGCAAGTTTCTTGGCTCTGTGTTTACACCTCTAAGTAGCCTCATCTCTGCAGCCAGCCCAGAACGGGAAGCAAATCTCTCAGAGCAAACCTTCCAGCAACAGCTCTACAGAAAGAAAATAATCCAATGAACATGTGGATTTGGCTCTCCAGATTCTTACCACAATTCTGCAAAAGTAGTCCATTGCCCACTATCCTAATACACAGCATCCAGTAGTAGTTTACTCACTGTGGCAGTCAGATTTGGCAGGACAAAACAGTCTGAGCTCTGCAGAACAGAGAGAGAATGAGCTAGTTCACTGTGCGACTTACACTGCAAAACCAGAACGGCTCCTTACGTCCCATTCCTCTGGCCTTTTCAATAGCCTGGACTTCCTTCTCATTGGCAGTGTAAAAATAGTGCAGATTTGATGACTGATTGTAGCCTAAGTTAAAAAACACAACGCCGACTGGAAAAAACCTGCTACTCACTCTAAATATTCTCACCGCTGAGAGGAGAACGCCACCGTCTCTTGAGCAGACCGATTCATCTACACACCACGAGCACATCATACATACCTTAACTGAGAACTTCCAAACTAGCTTCAAAGTTCAGTTCCCTCTACTGGTAGTGCATTTTATTCCCCTTTGAAGAGATCAACCCATGTTATAATTCATATATATACTTACTTCCATCCCTACAATCAATAAATTATGTGCTTTTAAAACCTCATTCGCCAAGCACATTACACATATTTCAGTTAATACACCATTTTTCCCCGTAGCTGTAACTTCAACCCACATGTCATGAGCAGCTAGACAAAGATTACAACGTGTTTTACCTGATAAATCTTTAGCATCAACAAATACATACTGCGATTTGGCTGCATTCAAACAAGCTTTGGTTGACTGGACAGGATGGGTTCTGAGAAGAACTGCCGACAGGCTTGTGCTGTCAAATACCTCATCAGCAGGCTTACAGAGTCGAAAACCGCAGTGTTTCAAGTCAAAAGCAACAAAA